GTGATGCAGACAGCAGCAGCAGTATCAGCAGTTCTGTGTGGGTGCGTGTACCACTACTGATTGTGGTTACACTGGCCTGTATTCTTGTGTGCTGATTGTGTGATGGTGGTGTGATGGTGTAGTGACTCAGGTCATCCTTTGTTTTCTCTTTCTTTTTTGCATACATCCCTTACAGTCTAACTAATCTTTCACCTGTTGGGAATTTCTTTTCTTATTTGTTTCTTAATGTTAATATGTGTTTTGTGTGTTTTTGCTCTCTTTGTGTTTATCCTATAATAATTATTATTGCTACTCCATTGTGTGTGTGTGTTTTTGGAGACTCTCTGTGTGTGTGTGCCTCTGGGCTTGCACTGTGATGATAATGATGATGAATTGTTTTTTGCAGTGGAAAAAGAAATAATAATAAAAGATGAATTTATATTTATAATTGCTTAGATATACACATATATAGACTTACACCCATAGTTGGTGTATTTCTGTGTTTGTTGCTCTTGATGCTCTCACGTTTAATTTCTCATTTTGTGTATTTTGGATAATTGGGATTATCTGTTGAAGAGTGGTATTGTTTGCTTGCATTTATTGGACTCTGAGAGATGATGGAGTATTTATGTTTTACGTTTTTCTTAGGGTTTCCGTGTAATGTGTTTTTCCCGTGATTATTGGTGGAGGTTTATTATTTTCATTGGTTTTTTTTTTTTGTCTTTTTGCACTACATATCTGTCTTTGTGTTTTTCTTCTTTTTTGTTTGTAGTTCGTTGAAAGTAGGTTAAAAAAATATATTACCTTTACTATCATGCTGCTACGCCATTTATTCTGCATTCTTACCTTACTGGTGAGCTGCTCCTTTCTTTGTGTGTTGGCTGAGGCGGTTGAACCGGATAGTCTTGCTCCTGATGTTGCTACTGCTTGCCCTGAAGCTTCTGATGGTCCTGCGAAGCCTCCGTGTTCTCGTGAGGAACCGGGTGATGGTGGTGGTGGTCTCGGTGGTGAGGTGTCTCAACTGCCACACACTAAAAAGTCAACCAAACATCAGGAAGGTAGTGGATTACCTGGGGAATCAAAGGAACAAACACAGGTAATAAGTATTCCACTGTCAGACCCACTGCAGCAAGAGACTCTACCTCACAATGATGACCATTCTTCTCGATCTGTTGGTGCTGGTGCTGCAGCAGGAGCGAAGGCCGATGTTGTTGTGGGTTCTCAAGGTCTTGCTAAAGGTACAGAAACTCCAGTAGCTCAAAAGGCTCCGAATACATTGACTGACCAAAGTGTCACCTCTAAGACTGTTTTAGAGAATTCTAATCTTCAGCCCGGTGAAAAAGATAAGGAAGCAATGCCAGCAGATGCATCTTCAAAGATGGACTTAGGACCATCACGAAACGGACCTCAACCTGCAACAACCGTGGAGGGAACATCACATTCAGACAGTGAACCGAATACAAGTGACACCAGAACATCAGAAAATGCAGAGACCACTCCAACAAAT